TTTTTTTTTTAGTGTGGCAGTCAATGTGTTAAAGCATTCTTTCCCCTCAGGCTGTTATTAGACATTTCCCTATGGGTGATACATTTTATGGAGCTACCTAAGTGGGGAAAATGTTAACTAGGAGTTCTCCTGGTGATAATTTTTTCCCAGAGTATTGTTAAGATCCATCCAATTTTGTCTTGATAGAGAATAACTGGTACTTTCCTTAGAAATATTTATGACTTATTTCCAAAATAACTTATTTTTGTTCTCAAATCATTATTCCAATATTAAGGTAAATTATCACTATAATAAGCAACTGGTTATATAACAGTATAAAAATATGAAAAGCTTAGTCATGAGTTAACATCTCATGCTTTCAGTGCCCATTGAGCTTTTGGATCTCTGTTTGCACAGCACTGGTGGTGCTTGGCTATACGCCCTTACAATTTATGCATTACTGGTTGTGATTTACATGGCAGATGAGATGAGTTACAATGCTCCTATTTCTGATTTCTGGCTCAGATCCATAGCACTGGAACTAAGGAAAAGAGATTATTAGGCTAGGTTGATCAATTTAGATATCCATTCCTTTTTTAGAGTCACAGATTATTAATATAATGGCTAAACTGAAAGACTTCTCTTTGAGGATCAGAAATGATGTCATGCCAAGCCTTCAGGGAAAGGATAGAATAATAACGATATAGCAATGCCTTTGATTTCTAAAGTGATTTTCTTTGGAAGAGCTCAAAGTACAGCTTCTATTTCTCACCTTTAATGCCAGTACATTCCCAGGGCTGAGAAATAGCCTTTTTAGTAAATGCTGAAAAATAGAAACAATTATTAAATGATGAAAGAGAGTAAAGGCTTCAAAAAGAGATCTTTGTCCCCAGAGGAGCCCAAAGAAAATGAAAATAGGTCAAAAACAGATAAATGGGGGAACTGTGATTTATAACACTAGTTAATAGCTCAATGCTAAGCTTATTTCCCTTTATCCTTGACTAATACATGAGTCATCTCTCTCCTTTCCCATCTTCTCCAAAAGAATTTCCCCTTAATACTGACACCCTCATTCTCTTTTCTGTTCTTCATTTTGTGAGCCTTTATTTGTTTGTTTGTTTGTTTTACCACCTAATCTTTCCCTGAAGTTTCATTTTCTCCCACATGCCTGTCTTCATGCAGCACAACTGAGAACACCACCAGCTTTCCCAGTTATCTAGGAATCAGTCCTTCTTGGACCTTCCTCCCTTGACCTCTCTGTAGCCTTTAACACTATGGATTATCCCATCCCTCATTTGTTCCTTTCTTGACTTACATACTATGAAAGAAATCAAATTTAGTTGTGTTTGGATTGAAAACTTGTGTTACTATTGTGTTTGGATTAAAATCTATTGCAGGCACAATGTAATCTGCACCCAAAGGGTCTCAACTTTTTTTATTAACAGAAGAGCTCATAACATCATACCTTGTCTATATGTATGTGTATGTCTATGCCTATGACTATGTAAGTCTATCTTTATGTCTTTATCTATTTCCATATCTACATCTATATTATATCTACATGTAATTATATACATAATTAACACAAGCCTGGTGAGGGCAATTAGAACTTAAGTGAGAAAATAGAGTTTTCTAAAATAATTGTATTTTGTAGCTAAAGAAAAAATGCAATTTCCTAAAACAAATATCATTTTATTTATGATATGCATTAGTCTTGGAATGAAAGGGTTCAGACCTGGGTGATCAAACACAATTTTGGAGTTGAGAGTTGAATATTTTTGAAAATCTCTTGCCCTATTTTTTGTAAATGTTAAAGAGAGAAGCTGTAAATCATGACAGCAAGACATGGCATGTACAGTTTTCAACCTAAAAAGTTTTCAACTTACATAAAACCTTTGTCTCTCCTAGCTGGTTTCTAAAGTTGCTTTTTAGTCATTGTGATTCTTGTCATTGGCATATAAATATTCTCTGTCTTCTTCTCTTGCTGAAAATGGAAATAACCAGTATAGTGTTTTGAATTATCAAGGAATGCCAACATTATCCTCCGAATTCTTATTAACAAATGCCATCAAAACGTATATTTTCTTTTCATTTTAATCAAGACTTAATCAAAATTTTAGCTTTATAGCTGTCATTCCTCACTACATTCATCTGTCTTTCCTCCTACCTCTCTGATCAAAGTCCTGCTGCACTGGTTTCCCTCTTTTCCATGTTCAAATCTTTTTAATCTTAAAAAATAGCCTCCTAAAAATTTGATAGCCTAATCTTACAAACCCACTCAGCTGATACTCTTTCTCTGTTTCCATCATAGCTGATGTTCTCAGAAGAGTAGATGATGCTTTTCATCTCCATTTTCTGGTTCCTATCACCATTGGTTCACAGAAACAGCTCTCCGAGGTCACCAATTACTTTGGTGATATCAGTCCCTCTGATTACTCGACCCTTTAAAAGGAACCACTGACTATTCATGCCTTTAGGAAATCTTCTCTCTTATTGTCTTTTGAGAACCAGATCCTCCCAACATATTGTTCTGGATTTTCTTTTATTTCTCTACCTATTCTTCCTTAGTCTCCTCTGCTACCTGATCATCTTCCACCAAGCCATTAAGTGTCGATGTTCCTAAAGGCTCAAAGTCCCTCTTCTCCTCACTTCCTGTTCTGTGCCCTGCCCTTCAGCAGGGGCATCCATACCCAGGACTTCGGTGACCATTTGTATGTTCTCCACTCCTTCATTAATATCCACTCCAGACCTTTCTCTGAGTTATCTTCGCTTAGCCAGTTGCCTTCTTGTCACCTTCACTTAAATGTCTCAAAAGAATTTAACATGTTCAGAATGAAATCCATAGTTCTCCATCCTAACCTGGTCCCCTATCTCAGTTAAGAATACAATCCTTCAGCTAGTTGATTCTCTGAAAACTTGAAGTGATTTTTCACATTTTCCTCTCCTTAGCCACCAATATCCAATCCATTAGTAAATCCTGTCAATTTATTTCCTAAATGCTTCTTGAATCCATATACCTCTCTCCATTTCTAGCATCTTCTTCATGTCTCTCCTGGACCACCATGACAGTAGCTGCCTACATATTCTGCCTTCATTCATCCTGATACCTACCACCCACACCCCTATGTCTTCTCCTCACAGTTTCCACAGTGATATTTGCGAAAGAATAATTGGAACATATCACCCTCCTACATAACAATTATAGTGATTTTTCATTGCTGCTAGAATAAAGATCCAAATCCTTAGTACTGACTATTGGCCCTTACCTGACCTCCATCTCTCATAACTTCCCTTTGCTCTCTGTTTCAGTTACTGAATCTGTTTTAAATGTGTT